GGTATGGTCCCTGGCCACGCATTGATCCAGAAGAGAATTGGTGTAGTCCCTGGCCATGCAATTGGTCGATGGCGCGAGTCACAGGAGGGCAGACCTGAATGTGTGCTTTGTGGGTGGCACCAGTGGACATTTACAACACACGGGAGGTGAAGTGTGAAGACTGAGAGCAGACAAGGATGACCTTGTGCTCCCTAGAGGCACTCACACAGCTCAAGGCCAATCTTTAAGGATGGAGGACGGGACTGTGATAGAGCTTGACTACTCCAGGTCCTGGTGGTGAAGAGTGACCACACCTGGCCCATTGTCCTGTGCTTCATGATCCCCTTCTCCCCTAGGCCAATCGTCCTTCTCCTCTGACTGCAGAGACAAGCACCCTCTTCAAACCTCAAAAATCAACCAGTTTTCACTTTCTTCAATGTGTACTTTCCTTATATTTTATAATTACCTGTCTACTGCTGGTCTACAAGGCTGACTCTTCAAGGTCTCCACACATAGTGCTAGGAACTTAGCAGTCATGTTATAAAATTCTTGTCATAGAAAGGCATAGCAGAGAATTTCAAATAACTTTCTTCCAAGTAAGGCCATTTAAAAATCTGATTGTTGTTCCTTCAAAGTTTTCTCCTTTCCCTTTCCCTTTTGATCAGGGTTTTCATTGTCTCTTTCTTTTTGTTAGATTTTTTTACTTGGGTTTACTTTATACATTTTCCTTAAAAGTTTCTGCAGAGCCTGCCACATGGAAGGGAAAAGGCCTGTGGTTTTCATTTTATCTTATGTCTGCTAAACAGTAACACTTTAAGTTGTAATCTATTTGATAGTTTAAATTCTTTATTAAAACATGCTCCTTGGGTTTCTCAACAGGCCCTCAGGGAGTGCACAAGTTCATAACATCTGGAAACTTTGCCAAGAACATGGCACAGCTGCAGTGGTGTGCAACACTTGCATGTGTGAGGTGCAGCTGGATAGTGTATGCTACACTCATCCCACATGCAAAGCGACCTTCTCCACCCAGCCTCCTCCACTGCAGTCACTTCTGGCTGAATGCCTGCTACCCACACCACCAGGTGCCAACAATCTGGGTAGTTCTGTCCTGACTATGCATTCTGAGGATGAGAGCACAGCTGTTGGATCACAGGCCGCCACACTTCCGGACATGGAGGCTGCAGATTCACACAACCCTCTCTGTGAGCTAAATTATTGTTCCATGTCTTGCAAGCTACACAAAGAAACAAAAGTAGGATTATACATATCCAATTGCTACTGACAAAATATCTAGTATTTGCTGTGGTCTGAAAGACATCTTTATTCTCCTTTCTTTTCTTGCATGGTGCTTTTTGGGGGCTATAGAAGCCTTTTTTTTATTGTCTTAAGAAAGTCTAGTAGCCAGCAATAAATTATTTGTCATAGGTTTAGCTTTCTGATCCACTTGGCACAGTTTCATTCTCTGTAATAGGTGACAAAATGATATATAATATCTGTATACTTACATTGTGCTGATCATTGCATATGCAATCTCTTGTTTAGCTTTCACAATGGTCCTAAGAGAGGCGCTAATCTGATTTCTCCTTTAAGATGAGGAATGAAGTCAGTAACTGCTCTGTGATGGTTGATTTTATGTGTTAACTTGACTGGGCTTATCAGAGGGTTAAACATTATTTTTAAGTGTGTTTGGGAGGATGTTTCTGGAAGGGACTGGTTTGAATTAGCAGATTTGGTAGAGGTTGACCTTACCTGGTGAGCAGGCATGGCCCTCTCAATCCAGGACCCTAATTGGAAGGTGGAGAAAGGACTGGCAAGATGGCTTACTCGGTAAAGGAACAAATTTTATGACCTGATTTCTACCGCTAGGACTCATATGGTAGAAGAAGAGAACTGACTCTTACAAGGTGTCACAAAATAAATGCAAAAATCATTTTTTAAAGATAGAGGGTGATTTACTCTCTGTGCCTGAGCTGGGATGTCCACATCCCTATCCCCTCCTTAGACACTAGTGCTTCTGGCTATTCATCCTTTTAGTTTGAACTGAGATTAATGCCACTGGCTTTGTTGTTATCAGGCATCTGGCCTTGGCCTGGAACCATTCTAATGGATTTTTCTGTTTCCTCAGAAGGTTCTAGGACTTCCTAGACTTCATAACTTGTCAGAACCCATGAAAATGGGCCCATTCAATCTTGCCTCAAATTCAGAAATCTCAAATCTGTCTTATTGCCTATAAGACTTTAGTTTGGCAGATACAGGATATTTTGGCCTTGGTAGTAGATGTCTCTATATAAATAACAACAGATTTGGGCCCAGGATTGTTTACCCTTGATCCTGAAGACTAGATGGCAGGTGTGGCTACGGGACACCTGGAGGATTAAGGGAAGTAAGTCTCTTTGCCCCTTATACATGATAATAGAAGTCTTCTGCCATTGTCCCCACTTTTGGTTGAATACTTAAGATCATGAAAGAATAAACTAGGTGCACATTCAGTATGGTTGAATGGTCCTCCTGACAGCTACCCTGTGTCTCTGTCTCTTAACCCCTTTAGCTAGCTTTTCTTGGATCCACACTCCCCTCTCAGGTACATACCATGGGTTGCCAGGCTGGCTCTGACTGCAGCCCTGCAAAGACAGCTTCCCACAATAATTGTCTGAGCTATGATTTATTTTGCTGTGGTAAAACACCATGACCAAAGCGACTTGGGGAGGAAAGGGCTTATTTAAGTTTACAACTCTCAGGTCACACTCTATCACTGAGAGCAGTCAGGGTAAGAACTCAGATGGGGCAGGGATGTGGAGGTAGAAGCTGAAGCTGACACCATGGGGGAGGTATGCACATCCCCAGTCTAATCTCTTCTCTTTACTGCTGCTAGGGGGATCCAAGTCACCACTGCCTTGACCACTGCAAGAGCTTCTTGGTCTCTCCGTTCAGCATGGTTTTATTATCCAGGCACTGCAGTAATATGTTATTCCTCTGTGTTCAACTCCAGTGACTTTCTGTCCCAATCAAGTGTCTCACTGTGGCCTCTAGAGTCTCTAGAGTCCACGGTTTGCATGTATCTTCATTTCTTTGATGGGGGATGTCCTTCTGTATATATGTTTCTCTTATTGGTTGATGAATAAAACACTGTTTGGCCAATATGTGGGACTACCAGACCAGGAGAATGCAGGGGAGAGAGGTGCTGAGAGAGGATGCCATGTAGTGGAGGAAGGAGTGACAGGTCCAGTACCCTTCTCCAGCAAGCCAAGACCATGTGGAAATACACAGATTAGTAGAAATGGGTCAGTAATTAAGACAGAGCTAGCCAATAAGAAGCCCTAGTCATTGGCCATAATTTTATAATTAACATAGCGTCCGTGTGTGTGTGTGTGTGTGTGTGTGTGTGTGTGTGTGTGTGTGTGTGTGTGTGTGTGTTTATTTGGGGCTCAATGGTGGTGGGACCTGGTGGAGCAAGAACCTCCAGCAACGTTTCTTTTTCTTCCCTTCCCTCTCACTCGCTTCAGGTCAGCTGGCTTCCTTCTCTCTACTCCTGAAGGGCTCCATGTAGCTTCTGCCAGTGATATAGTGTGTTCTCTGAACTCTCCAGCTAGTGACACACTTTCCTATATCTGTCTATCTCTGCTCCGTCAGTCCTTAGTGTTTCTGCTCAAGCTTGATCACCATCATCATCATCATCCCTTCTTGTAAAGTGATTTGTTTATTTATGTATGTGCATTGGTGTGCCAGCATGTGTGTCTCTGTGAAGGTGTCAGAATCCCTGGAAATGGAGCTACAGACAGTGGTGAGATACCAGGTGGGTGCTGGGAACTGAAGTTGGGTCCTCTGGAAGAGCAACCAGTGCTCTTAACCTCTGAGTGATCTCTGCAGCCTCAAGCTTTATTTTCATGGAGAGTGCTTTTCTGCCCCACTGTTCCCTCTGCCCCTGAACTCTAATTTCTTTCAAAATCCCTAACTGTGTCCATTTCATTTTTACATCACTTTCTGTCCTAGCCTTTTAGACTCAATATGCCACAGCATCAGGGATTTAGCAACTGTGAAAGTAACTGCCCATACTAAGGGTTTATTAAATAGTTGGAATGATGAAATACTGAAGAACTAAAATTAATATAGGAAGAGAAATTGCTGGATAGTTTCAGAAAGAATCGTAATAAATGAAGCAATGGGAAATAGAAGGCAACCTATCTGAAGTCTGTTCTTCTTCTTGGTGCAAAGAATTCATCCCCCTCAGGGAACGAAGTAGGAGAGTTGGGGAGATTTTTGTTTTGCCTTCTAGTTGCCAGCCTATGGGACCCGCCCTCCAAATTCTGTTGGCTGTTAGTGAAGGAAAGCAGCTGATTTGCTACTCAGAAGCATCATGAGCAGAATGGTTATACTTTTCCACACAGCCTACTGTGCATGGATTCTGGATGGGTATGGTTTTATAGACTCTTCCTTCCCCAGGAGGGCTAGCAGGCACTGAGAGCCTCTTTGTCCACTTGGGAACAGAGCCCCTCAGGAGAAGCTTAGTGCTTTGGCTGAATAGCAGAGCCATTTGCTGAGAAACTCTCTGAGGAATTTCTGCATAGGCCTCCCAGGGTAGAGCAGTAATTTGTAGCAGTTTTTGGGTCTTTTATATTCTAGCTTCATCACTCTCCATTGATTTTGCCATTTGCAGCTTATAATGGAAATGAGGACCGTTGTTACAGATAGAGCTGTTACTAGACACTTCTCTCTGTCTTGTGGAGGGACACTCCTGGGGAAGCAGCTGGAGGCATTTTTGCTTTCTTAACTTTTCTCTGGATTTCAGGAGTTGGGGCTTCTGGAAGGTGGGCATCAATTCTACTGATTGCTTTGTATTTACCATGTGAATTCAGACTACTTCCCAACACAAAGGCTCTAGGAAAAATACAAGTTTATAAACTCTGGCAGTTTATATAAATTTTAGGAATTTATTTTGCTAATACAGGATGAAAAATATAGTAAGGCAGATTCCTGTATCTGAGTCCTTAGGAACAGTGCATTTTAATTTTGCTGCTGTTCTGATGATCACACTAGTGTTATAAGCAAAGCTGGAAATTATTTTGCTTTACGAAGACACTATACACAAAGGGTATCTCCGGCACATACAAAGACCAGTCTAGAACACAGCTCATGTATGGTAACTTGAGTGTAGTGTATCTGGATAAAGCCAGCTCTCTGACCCATCCTAAGGTCTCCACTGATTCATGTTTTATCTTCTGTTCTCAGATCTTCAGTTGTCATACTCGCCAGCCCAGAGCTAGTTAAGGAGCTGCAAACTGGAAGAGGACAAAGGAGGCTGCAAGTCAGAGTCATCCTCATGGAAGAGAGAAGTGACAGCTGAAAGACTGGTGGTCAGCTAAGCCAGAGATTCAGGACTGCCCCGGGCAGCCAACAGTTGTTGGATTTTGTCTGCAAGGACAGTATGGACTCATTGTGAGAAGCGCCTGCAGATGTAACAAACAAGTAGGGGACATGGAAAGAATGGCTTGAATGGTAGATGTGACTATCCAAGATTTGTTTATCTACTCGTCAAGTTAAAGAGATAATACCTGTGGAGGAAGCTAAGTAAATACTACTTGGCTCAAACCAGTAGCTGAGAGACTAGGGCCTGGTGGCTTCCACGCTTTATGGACATGAATATTAATAAATAGGGGTGGTTCAAGGTGCCTGTGGGTGGCTAGTGTGTTCAGAAGCTACATTAGAAGAATTTGGAGTTTTGCATCACCTTTCTTAATATACCTGATTTAGAATCAAGTGTGGAGCAGCGCTTCCAACACAGAGAAAGTAAACTCTAGGAAGGTGCATGATGATCATAGGGCATGTCACACACCTAATCACCGTGTCTTGTGGGGCTGGAACCTGAACTGACATGGGGCAGTGAGGGGATGAAGAAATGAGACAAACAAAAACATGTACTGAAAAGGTGGGACCAGGTGGCGCCATCCACTGCAGGAGCCCGGAAGCTCAGCCTGTTGATTAGGTGCAGAGCAGAGGAAGGTGTTGGTAGAAGTCTTTGTTGGTGAGCAGTTTTAGATGGAAACATCTGGGTGGAGGAAGCCGCTGCTGCTGGTTTTCCCACACACTGGTCAAGGTTCCTAAGCACTTGTACTTGCACATACTCTCAATGTTTGTGCTGGGACCAGCTGAAGGCTTTGCTATCCCTCTGAGCCTCACCCAAGGAAGGAGAAAGTCAGGCTTTGCCGTTCCTATGGGTCTGAGGCACTAGGTCCTTGAAATGGCTGAGTCGATGTGTAGCACATTAACTTAGAACTTCATCCTGTCTTGACACGTACACTCAAGGCTTCCTCCACTCATCACACACAGCTACCTTTTCATTATAGGTGTACATCAAAATTTAGCTCTAAATATTGACGGTATCGTGTGTGTGTGTGTGTATAGGGTATGCATATATGCGTACAGAAGCATATGTCAGTACACCTGGCTAATATCACTTTATTTTATGAGATATGAACTCTCATTTCATTTGGAACTCATCAATTATCTAGACTACCTGTCCAGCCACCCTCGGGGATTGCAAGTATGAGCCACCATCATGCCTGCTTTTTAAATAGGTGCTGGGGATCTGAATGTAAATTCTTAGACTAACATGGTAATTACTTTATCCACTGAGCCATCTTCTCAGCTTATGCAAACATGTATTGGTGGTATATTCAAACCAAGTACAAAATACGTAGTGTTTAGAAGCGAGATGCTGGACAGCATCATGGTCCCTTGGCTTGAGTAAACTCCTTTAGTCCCCTGCTGCCAACAGCATCTGTACACTTATCTAGCTTTATCTACCTTTCTTTGGGCCAAAAACTATGGAATTCTTGCCTCCTTCTTATACCTGCATCGGTGGCCAAGTCCCATCAGTTAACTTTAGAGCCTAACCTAATGACTGTGCTCTCCTCCATCCAGATATTTAAACACTTTCATGCTCATTGTACAAACTAAGAAGAGGAACTAGGATAAGGGTACCAGCTGGATATGGCAAACGGGACCTGAGAGGGTAATAAGAAAGTGAATATGAGCAAAATATGATGTAAATCAATGAAAAGTTCACAATGAGAGCCTTCATTTCATACAATGACATATGCTAGTACTATTAGTAATAAAGGAGACAACTTTCTATTCAAAGCATGTTTTCCATGCTCTATATTATACCCTGCCCCTGCCAAAGGTTTTCAAGGGATCTGCAGTCTATCTTTCCTTGTTATAGTTTGTTTTCTTGTTTGTTTTGTTTTGTTTTTTGAGACAGGGTTTCTCTGTGTTGCTTTGGATCCTGTCCTGGCAATCACTCTATAGAGCAGGCTGGCCTCAAACTCACAGAGTTTGTCTTACTGCCAAGAAAAGTCTAAGTTCTTAAAACATTTTAAATGCCATATTCTGTAGGTCTTTGAAGTGCTTGAATATTACCTGTCTATCTGAAATATATCTCTGTATATCAAGAAAACCTAACTAACATGACTATAAGTTTGACTATTATAAATGACTACCTATTAGTCTATATTTATTAATTATACATTACATATTAATTGAGCTATATAAACATAATACCTTATACAAGAGTAGAAATGTACATATAGTATAACAAAATTGATCATAAATTTGTATCAATGAACCAAAATCCATACCAATGTAAAGGATTCATTTTTACATCGTATCTCCCACATTCGCCTTTTAAACAAGTAGATTGACTGTGACCATTAACCATTTATAATCAACCCCCTTTAAATGAAAGAAAACCTTTATAAACAAGCATTTTGGGAGTTTGGGCATAGTTTTCTATATTACTTTCTGTTGATTGGAGGTGCTGGTAATTAAGTCTTTGATGAAGTATCTTGTGTGGTTGGTCCATCTCAGCCAGCAGTCCTGAAGCTTCATGGCTTTGGATCACCTGGGACATCACTTCAGGGTGTATTGTTTGATCAAACCATATTAGCCTGAAAGGAATCCACAGCTTCTCATCTTCTGTAGAAACAAAAGCAGAACCTCTTTTCCCAAGCAACATATCCTTAGTCCCCAATTTTGAAATCAAGATACCTTTAAAATATATATGTTGGTTTAGCTTAGCATCCCCCACAATCAAATGTCTCTCTGTAGTTAGCTCATTAACAGTCAAAAAATTAAAGATAACACAATAATATACATAATTCAAGCTCTGTACATTTTCCATTTTTACATGGCTCATTATAGTTTTTATACTTTATTTCTTCTTTAAGGACCTCAGTTTATTATCCTTAAATTGTTTTTTATCTGTAACTCTATCTGCCCCTTGTCAGTTCAGGTTCAAGCCCCACAAGACATGGTGACTAGGTGTGTGACATGCCCTACGATCATCATGCCCCTTCCTAGAGTTTACTTTCTCTGTTTAGAGGCCTTTTCTGTCTGAGTCTGTTTTTATTGTGTATCGTAATCCTTTTCTGACTAGGAGTTTTTGAAATGGTAAGTGGGTTTGGCTAGGACTAAAACATCTGGCTGCACCCCAATCCTTGGCTTTCTGAGAGTCTTGCTTCATGGCAGAGTACAGGTAGGAGCTACATGTATCACCCCCACTCTGGGGAGGTTTCAGGTACATGCCACCAGCTACTCATAAATTGCATATAAGTCTTTGGTAGCAGGGCCTCTTAAAAGAGCTACACTGTTTTTGCTGGTAGTGCTGAGTCAGGAAGCTGTCTCTTAAAGGAGCCATGCCTCTGCTTGCTTCTAGCCTATCTGAAAAAAAAGGGCTATCAAGAAGCTGTTTCTGACTCTGTTTTTGTATGTCTAGAATCCTTTTTAAAACTTTTGTCAGGTTTTATGTGGAAATTCTTGCCAAACATTTGGGCAACACATGTAGTTAGAGGTTTCTAGTTCTGCTTACCAGTTCTCAAATAACCACATCAGGATTCTACTGGCCACAGTGGGTTGGACTCTCCTTCATCAATTAAAAATCAAGAAAATGATCTATAGGCATGCCATATCGTGGTGTATGTCCATAAACCCAGATGTTCAGGAGGCTAAAACAGGAGTTCTTCAAGATCAAGACCTGACTGAGCAACTTGGTGAGATTCTGGCTCAACATGAAAAGAAGAAGGTGGGGAACACAGTCTAGTGATAGAACACTTAATTAAGATGAGCAAGGCTCTAGGTTCAACCCTCAGTACTACAAAATTAAAAATAAGCCAAACATCTTCACTCTAAAGTGATTCCTCCAGCTATAATCCCCTACCTCCATTAAATCAAGCACCATTTGCTCTACCACCTGTGATGCTCAGCATACTACCAATAAGCTAATTGAGAACATTCTTCATTTCTGTTACTGGGCTTTATTTCTAGCCCTTCATTTTGATTACTTCATGGTGTTTCATTTTTCTATGTATATTTTCATCGCATATATTGTCTACCTACTTTTTCCCTCTAGAACCCTTAGTACATCATTAGTTATCATAATTTCAACATTAATACTATTTCTCATTGTGGTTCTGATGATGGATTTCTCTCACCAGACTGTTTTGTTTGCTTTGCAATTTTGTTTTGAAAGCTGAGCATGCTGCTTTGAGTCATTGGAATGTAGGAAAATAGGTCTTTGGTGAGAAGATTGTGTTATCCTGACTAGAAGGTGTTAATCTGACTAGAAGTTAGATGATGTTTCGTATTAATTTTATTTCCAGCTACAAGATGATTTGGTGCCTTCTAATTGTCCTTGTTGCTTTCTCAAGGCTTCCTTGTTCTTAGACACAGTGTAGGTCTTGTGCCCGTTTCATCTAAAATCTCTGTCATTGTGCTGGAGCACATATGGAAGTTGGCTGTGTTTATAGGAACTCTACAATCTTATGATTAGTCTCAGTCTCTTTGGGAACCTGTGTTTTCAGGCTGTGCCCTTCATATATGTTTCTATTCTTTCTACAGTTGTGTGTCTTTTTCTCCATTCTTCCCTACTAAACCATGACTGCATCTTTCTCCATCTCTTTCCTTGAAGCCTTGTTTTTTGTGGTATCGTTTCCCTACATTATATGAGACAGAAAGGCAGTGAATTGCTAGAGTGAGAAAAATATCCTGTTCTCCAGGTGACATAAGGTTTTAGAAGTATACACAAGTGAAGTCTTTCCCCCTTGAAGAAAGGGTCTGCAGTTTGGAAAGGTGTAGGGGTAAAAGGAAGCCTTGATTGAGTAAGGTCCTAAGTGAATATATGTTGTTGACATGGACCCATGAGAAACCAGCAAAGCTTTTTCCCCATATCGACCATGCTCAAGAGGGATGGCAAAGCTTTCCTTGGGGTTCTGAGTATGAGTAA